CTGGTCTTCTAAGGCGTTCCCTATCTCTCTCAATGCGAGTACTAGACTCAAGCCAGGATCATGAGAAGAAGTAGAAGTAAGACAGTCATTTCATGGATAAAGGGACTCATATCATTCACAACCAAGGACTCGTTGTACCGGGGTGCTCTTTTCACTTCATTTCACCGTTGGACCCTTTTTCACTTTCATTTTACTTTTTTTTTTTCTTTTGCATTCACTTAGCGGGGGTTCCAACTGCAGTCTTTTGCACGGTCGACCCTTATTAGTCGAGCAAGAGCAATTTTTGTACATCTGGCGCTTGCCAGAGTACTTCTTTTAACTCCTTTTCCTCAACTCGTGTGGAGGGTCGATGAAATTAAGGGTGGTCGGAAGCTCTATCCGTGCCCTTAAAAACACATCCTCAAGTAGGCAATTAAACGGTTGTTTTCAAGTCGAGAGAGGTCACCCGGATATGGTTCCCCCTAGACTGCAGTTAAGCCAGATTGTAATTTACCAAGTTCAATTTCAATGATAGTTATACTGCAGGAGGTTCTTAAACAGTCTGAAGTCTCGACTAAAGGTCTCCAGACCCTCTCAATCTGAGTCCCCAGCGGGCGACTAACCTCCACTAGAGGAAACAGATTGAGGCCCTAACGAACCAAACCTCCACTACCGAAGCAAGTTCGGTACAGAATAGTGAATTGGCTTCTCGACTACAATCGCCAATTCACTACCTTCAATCAAGGGTGCTCTATCAACCTAGGCATATATTCTCTTTCTAGGTTAAAGCAGAAACAACAAGAATTTGATCAGGATTCATGCCATTCAACAAATCAAACCTCAATTGAACATAATCATACCAATGAATCTGTACTCGGATTCATACAATCAGACCTAACATACAAATCTAGGGTTCTTCATACCCAGGTGAATAAGAAAACTACTCCATAGAGAGAGATGGAAAATCTAGCTCAGATGCGGAAACCATATTGTGAAGGATGATAATTTGCTTCTGGCAATCAATCAGGTCTTCTCCAAGCTCAAGCCGGGTTCCAATGGTGATGGAGAACGATCTATGGCACTTGCAGAGTCAGGTTCGTCACTTTCTCTCTCTAGGTATCGCTCTGTCTCTCTAAAACTCGGAACCCTTCACTTTTGGCCTTCTTTCCCCTTAAAAAGCTGTCTGTCGCGATCCCCGGCTTGAATACCCGGTCGGGTATTTTGGGTGGCGATCGGGCATTTCAAAACGCAGCGTAGGAGACAGGGTAAAATCCTCGGTCAAGGCCAAGAATCCCCGACCGGGCCCCCCTCTGCTTCTCAGACGCCAAAACCACTTTTCCCTGGTCTGCTCCAAATAATACCCGGCCGGGTATTTCTGCTCATGGCCGGGTATTTTCCTCCTCCAGCACACTTCGACCCAAACGTGCTCCTTTCGACCCGAAACTCGTTTCTTCGCCTCGAAGCCAACGCTAAGTCCTGAAATATGACATAAACGCACAACCTAGCGTGAAATCGGCTTAAAACACGAGAATCAACATCTCAAACGGCTCAAGAATAGGGGTAAAAACATGTGTAATTATTGGTCTATCAACTTGTTATTTTCATAACACCAAAAAACAACACTAGTATTAGTCTTCTCTCAGCCTTCAATTCGTCAAATTAAAGATTACCAATGACAAGAACTTGAGATGTCACCTCTCCTTCATTCTCCTTATCCATATCCTAGCTCTAGGCAAACTCAAGACTCTTTGCTTAGTCCTTTGTCCTAAATTAAACTATCAAATCTAACTTATATATTTAATTATTTATTTCATATTCGATAATACCGATTGGGATACCGAAGTACTGATTGGGATACTGGAATATTTAGGGATTTGGATTGGGATTGCCTTTTGGGTATAATTCGGTATTCGGAATTTCGGTATTTCGTATTGGGATACCGATACCGTAACGGTTTCCGCCCTACTTGAAGGGATGAATTTGGTAGAAAAAGAGAAATCCCTTAAACTGAACTTAGATGACCTAGTATCACAGCCGTATCAGTACTCTTCAAATCAGGACTTAAGTTTCTGCAATCTAGATGTCCATTGTACCACCAGACAAATTCTTTGGCTGAGTGTATCCCAGAAAGATCCTGAAAACATATGTACCCATACGTCAGCCAAAATCATCAATAAAAATTGCCTTCAAATAACAATATTAATTCTAATTTCATTAGCATACTTCTCATGGAATACCCAGGGCTCTGTCACTTTCAGCACCATACACTTGGTTGAATGAATTAAGAGTTAGCCAAAACAAACAGAGAAGAGACAAAATGCCAACAAACAGAAGCATTGGAGCATCAACAAAGAAACTTACCACATCATACAAGTTTCTGATGGACGATCGGTTCGTCCATCGTGTAATCGTACGAACTAAAACTAAAAAAAACTGAAACTACTGATTTATTCTTCTTTGACTGATGATTAAAACGTAGAAACCAAGTACTTATTTATAGTAGAACCGGAAAACCTAATCTCTGACGAATCCTACAAGGACTCGGTAACTTAATACTAAAGAAACTAACTTAAATACTTAATTAATTAATACGATTCCTAAACAATATCTGAAACCAACTAACAAAATAATAACAATAATAATAGTAATGGTTGTTGAGAAGTTATAATGCATCAATCCTCCCCCCTTCGAAGAACTTCGTCCCCGAAGTTCAAGTGAAGTCTCAACCCGGATCGATGAAAAAATTGTTGACGATAGCGAAGAGAACTGATGTTCGTTGATGTCGACCTCATTTACGGAACTTTCGATTGGGCTCGGGCACCCGAACCAACCATTTATCACTGGACTCTCCAAACGCCGTTGAGCCCTTCTTAGCGCACCACTCGAACTTTCCTTTGCTTGAGGTGACAGTTCTCCCACACGGTGGCCAAATATTGGCCGATTCCCCACTTCCTTTCTTCAAAAAGAACTTCCCATGCATGGAATAAAGTTCTCCATACATGCCTCCATCCATGCTAAGTACGTAAGTATAAGAAATGAGCGTACCAATGCAAAATTGGCTCTCATGCCATTTCCCCCATATACGACCCAATCCATCCCAAATAGCAACGCACTTTAGCTGCCTCCTTTCAGAAGCAACTCGAGCAAGGAGTTTGTCCAAAAACCCCAATCCCTCTCGGATCCCTCCCTCTATCAATCGCCCGAGTTTCCCAGCTCCTGCCGACTCGTGAACTTGAACCGCGTCGGCTCCGAAACTCTCAGCAGCACCACTACTATTTTCCTCCGACCCCGTTGACCTTCTCGACCAACGCCCTTCCACACCGCGACCGTCACTCGAGCCCACTCCGTATAAGAGCCCATGTGTGAGTCCTCCGATACGTACCCCGAGTCCGTTTCGATGTGCGCCATGTCTGGCCTGTTGATCGCAGCCCAACCCTTCATCGAATCAGAACCCAAACTCAGGATGCAAGGGAGCCGATTCCCCTACGTCAAAACCTAGCTGGCCGACTCTTTCCCCACCTTCTTCGAATGCGAGTTTTCCTTGCTCCACTCCCATTGCCGGTAGTGCTAGCTGTTCGACCCGACAGTTCGGCGGTATCTCCACCATGCGCATCCCCATCTCTCCTCCATTGTCTTCACCACTCAAATCATCACCGTCGTACGATTCTGAGTTGGGTTCGGAACTCTCATTGCTCCCCTGTCCAGCCCATCCATAACTGCGTACGAGAAGTTCCTTGATCAACGCCTGCAGATCCTTCGCAGCGCGTCACCCAACTGCTCCAATTCTCGCCGCCACTCCTTCCATATCTCGTCGCCCATGCGCTCTATACCCTGCTGCACCTCCTTGCGGAAGTGATGAACTTGACTTGGAGGCCATTCTGTCCGTCCTTGAGAAGTTGGATGTCGGGTCGGAGCTGACCCCGCTCCGCTACTGCCTAGCACAACTGTTGATCGCGCCCGTCGATGTGCTCATTCATCTCGCGGAGTTGCCTGCGGAAACCTCCCTCCTTGACTGCGACAACGGTCGATAATGGCGAAGCTACCGTTAGCTTCTTCATTGGTGGCGCCTCGGTAGACGATCCGTCCACCTTGTCGTTGCGGAGCATTGTTGCGCGCAGGACATCTTCCCGGCGTTGGTGGTTGAACGTCGATGATGTCTGCCCTGGGAGCCGGTAAGAGCTCGATTCTTTCGAACCAGGCTATGATAGCAATTGATGGACGATCGGTTCGTCCATCGTGTAATCGTACGAACTTAAACTAAAAGAAACTGAAAATACTGGTTTATTCTTCTTTGACTGATGATTAAAACGTAGAAACCAAGTACATATTAATAGTAGAACCGGAAAACCTAATCTCTGACGAATCCTACAAGGACTCAGTAACTTAATCCTAAAGTAACTACCTTAAATACTTAATTAATTAATACGATTCCTAAACAATACCTAAAACCAACTAACAAAATAATAACAATAATAATAGTAATGGTTGCCGAGAAGTTATAATGCATCAGTTTCGGATCTCCAAGAGAGAAATGGAGGACCCAAGAGCGACGTTCCCAAAGAACAAGCACCTGCCATTTTGCGCAACCCTTGAGAACTGGTTCGTCTCAATCTGTTCCAGGGTTTCGGGTAAATTAAGCTCAGTTAAGAGAATTATTTCCAATGATATCCAAAACGTTGCTGACAAATTGGAAATGCAAGTTAGAAATCCCCCAAGTGTGCAGCTCAATAATAGGTTTTCCAACTTCTCACTTTTCACCTCTTTCGGTAGCAACCAAGAAAAAGTTCTAACCTTTCTACAGAGACAACACTGATGGGGAAAGAAAGGAAAAAGCCCTAGAAGCCCACAAGTTAAAGACCTTTCCTTGGAACCAAACAAGAATATGACCTTCGTCTCCCGATGATTAGGGGCAACTCCTGACTGAACCAATCCAAAAGGCGTCGGCAACCGGTCGATTGAGAAACCGTTAATTGCACATGTTTTTACCCCTATTCTTGAGCCGTTTGAGATGTTGATTCTCGTGTTTTAGACCGATTTCATTCTAGGTTGTGCTTGTTTGTGATATTTTTGGTCCTAGTACGTGAATGAAGGTTTGGGAGCGAGTTCGGGGTCAATTGGACGAAGATCGGACGTGTGGCGAGTCGCTGAGGAAGCCACACGGGCACTCATAAAACCCACACGGCCGTGTAAAGAACCAATGTGGCCGTGTGGGATTGTGCGAGGCTTCACATGGGCAGACTGGAGATCCTACACGGCCGTGTGTCCCTGGCCGTGTAGGTAGCCTGAAGTCCAATTAATCGAAACTCAGCGTTTTGAGTCTCACACGGGCATCTGGGTAAGCCACACGGTCGTGTGGCCTACCCGTGTGAGTCGAGAATTCTGGTTTTAACCCAAATTCGAGCCACAATTGAGGAAATTGACTTTTCAGAGCAAAAACAGAGCCCTAGAGAGAGAAAGTGCGAAGAACACATCCTAGAAGCGATCTTGGAGCTGGGTTTCATCAAATCGAGCTTGGAGATCATCATAGGAGTGGAAATCATCATCCCAGAGTAGATTCTTCCCATTTTGATGAGTATGACTGCTTTGTATTCTGTTTTCCCCTCTCTCTCTATGGAGTAGAACCCTTCTCTCACTTGGGTATGAAGAACCCTAGTTCCATGTGTTAGGGATCATGATTGTAATGACTTGGGATGATTATACTGTTTGGTTTTAATCGAATGATGCATGTTTCATTGAATTAATTGAAGTCTGATCAGCTTTTCTTGATTTCTGCTGCAACTTGAGATAGATAGAATCTGATTAGGTTGTTAGAGCTTCATCTTTCGTTAGTAGTGGATTGGTTATACGAGAGTTAGCCAGTTTACTGCTTTGTACTGGAATCCAATTCCAGTAGTGGAGTTCTGTGCTTATTGCTTCAACTTTCTATCCCTGTGAAGACTAGTCGTCTGCCGGGTAGTTAGACTGAGAGGGCTTGGTCAGCTTAGGAGATTCCAAGCTACTGTCGGATCTTCCCCAGTCTAATCAACAGTAAATCAACCCAGGGTAATTACAACTGAGACCTAACTAAGGAGCTAGGGGGACTCATTCCCGAGTGACTCTTCTTTTGCTTTTAGTTAAGACCATAATCAATCGACTTAGTTTGCTAGATAATAGATAATCACGGAGTAGGCAGCAGATCTAGACCCCGTGTTGATATTTAGAACTTGCCACTTTACTGCATTCCCGGACTGCGATTACACTTGGTCACAGTTTGGTGTTGTGTTTTGGCGTGTTAAGTTTTTGGCGCCGTTAATTGCACATGTTTTTACCCCTATTCTTGAGCCATTTGAGATGTTGATTCTCGTGTTATAGATCAATTTCACGCTAGGTTGTGCTTGTTTGTGATATTTTAGGTCCTAGTACGTGAATAAAGGTTTGGGAGCGAGTTCGGGGTCGATTGGACGAAGATCGAACATGTGGCGAGTCGCTGAGGAAGCCACACGGGCACTCATTAAACACACACGGCCGTGTAAGGAACCAATGTGGCCGTGTGGGATTGTGCGAGGCTTCACAGGGGGAGACTGGAGATCCTACACGGCCGTGTGTCCCTGACCGTGTAGGTAGCCTGAAGTCCAATCAATCGAAACTCGGCGTTTTGACTCTCACACGGGCATCTGGGTAAGCCACACGGCCGTGTGACCTGCCAGTATGAGTCGGGAATTCTGGTTTTAACCCAAATTCGAGCCACAAGTGAGGAAATCGACTTTTCAGAGCAAAAACAGAGCCCTAGAGAGAGAAAGTGCGAAGAACACATCCTAGAAGCGATCTTGGAGATGGGTTTCATCAAATCGAGCTTGGAGATCATCAGAGGAGTGGAAATCATCATCCCAGAGCAGATTCTTCCCATCTTGATGAGTATGAATGCTTTGTATTCTGTTTTCCCCTTTCTCTCTATGAAGGAGAACCCTTCTCTCACTTGGGTATGAAGAACCCTCCATGTGTTAGGGATCATGATTGTAATGACTTGGGATGATTATACTGTTTGATTTTAATCGAATGATGCATGTCTTCTTTTAATCCAAACTTCCGCCATCCAACACAAATTTTCCAAACTATGTAACCTCCCCAAAAACAGAAGCAAATCCATTCATAAACACCACACAATTTTCAGAAACCAACCACCATGAACAACCCCAATCCCATAAGCAAATCCCCATCTCCAATTTCAGGATTCATAACCACAAATGAACCCAATTTCTCCAATTCATAAACAAAATCAGCCCTCATATCTCAAACAAACAAACATCAATTATCCAATCCCAAAAACTTACCAAAACAAAAGTCCACCTCTTGTCATTGTCGCCGCCGCCGGTAAAAAACAGAGATGCCGGCGGCGACCCTCTTCTTCCTTTCGTTCCCGCTGCTTCTTTCCCTCATCCATGATCGAAACCAACAAAATCCCCAAAAAGAAAATCAGAATCCCATCAGAAAAAATATACCTAGGACAGAAAGAAAACTCACGATTTGAGCTGCCTCCACCGCGTCAGCAGAGTTTGCCGATGTTGACCTCTTCTTCTCCCCTCATCCGTAAACAGAACCCAGAAAACAAAAAAAATAGGTTAGAATCCCAGCAAAAATCAGAATCAAACCATGAAAATGAACATGCAAGCGTCGAATCTTGACTTATCGTCGATTTGAGGGCTATTCGGAGCATCATCGTGGCTTTCTTTTTGGCGGTTTTCTCGATTTCTAGAAAGAACACGGGATAGGGGTAAGAAGTAGAAGCTGAGAGTATTAACGAGAAAGAAGCAGATCTGATATGAAGATTTTCGTATCTCGGAAAGAGAGGCGAGGGAGGAAAGCAAGAAAGAGGAGTTCGTTTCTTTTCTTCCCTATGGTTTGTTTTGGTTTCCAGAGAAAACTAGAGGAGGAGGAAGGAGTTTCCCTTTCCCAGGCCCCATTTTCGTTTTTAGAAGCAACCCCACGATCAGTTACAACTAATCCCCTGTTAATTCTCAATTAAAACATTTTTGCTTAATAATCAATTATTTTTTTGCCACTTTAAATCTATTTAACCCATATGGCAATTTATACATTAATCATCAAATACAATTCATAAATCACGATGAATAGAATGTGTAAAGATAATTTCATAAATATCGACATCGAACTACGTGGACTTTGATCCCGACTACTCGGGTACACGTAGACAACCAATAGGTTCGAGTCCAACTGATAGACCATTGATTACACATGTTTTTACTATAATTCTTGAGCCGTTTGAGATGTTGATTCTCGTGTTTTAAGTCGATTTCACGCTAGGGTGTGCGTTTATGTCATATTCCAGGGCTTAGCGTTGGCATCGAGGCGAAGAAACGAGTTTTGGGTCGAAAGGAGCACGTTTGGGGTGAGTGTGCTGGAGGAGCAAAATACCCGGCCATGAGTAGAAATACCCGGCCGGGTATTATTTGGAGATGACCGGGGATTTGACGCTTCATGCGTCTTTGAGAAGGAGAAGGGGGCCCGGGCAGGAAGAAGAAATCCCCGGTCGGGGATTCTTGGCCATGACCCGGGATTTTCCCCTGTTACCCGACGGTGCGTTTCGAACATACCCGGTCGCCACCCAAAATACCCGACCGGGTATTCAGGCCGGGCATCGCGACAAACAGCTTCTTAAGGGAAAAGAAGGCCAAAAGTGAAGGGTTCCGAGTTTTAGAGAGAGAGAGATCGATACCTAGAGAGAGAAAGTGACGAACCTGACTCTGCAAGTGCCATAGATCGATCTCCAGCACCATTGGAGCCCGACTTGAGCTTGGAGAAGACCTGATTGAGTGCCAGAAGCAGATTATCATCCTTCACAGTATGGTTTCCGCTTCTGAGCTAGATTTCCCATCTCTCTCTATGGAGTAGTTTTCTTATTCACCTGGGTATGAAGAACCCTAGATTTGTATGTTAGGTCTGATTGTATGAACCCGAGTACAGATTCATTGGTATGATTATGTTCAATTGAGGTTTGATTTGTTGAATGGCATGAATCCTGATCAAATTCCTGTTATTTCTGCTTTAACCTAGAAAGAGAATATATGCCTAGGTTGATAGAGCACCCTTAATTGAAGGTAGTGAATTGGCGACTTCTAGGCTTGTCAATGGGTAGGCCTATTGGGTTTTTTGACCCAAATACCTTGACCCATATGGGTATTGGGTTTGGACCCAAATGGACCCAAATTTCATTTTACTTTTTTTGGGTTGGGTTGGGTTTAGATTGAGTCCAGAATGGGCCTGTATATTTGGGCCGACCCAAATGGGTCCATTTGGGTATAAGTTAAACTCTCTTCTTATCAATCATATCTGCCTCCACATTTCTCTTTTCAACATGCCTGTTTCCACTTGCTCCATTTTCATAACTGTTTCCTCATTACAATAATCAATCTAATATCATTAAATAAAATATTTATAATACTAACACTAATCAACAAAAGGAGAATTGTGCTTGCTTGACAAGGGAAGAAAAAAAAACTACCCTGCCTAATTCCTCTTCTTCTATTATCTGCAACATCAAAAACCCAAAATACACTTCGCTCACCGGCAAGCTTCACGGTCTTTATATCAAAATCCTCAACGGGAAAGTCCGGATCCTTTCAAGTATGAACCATTGATTCAGAAAGGTTGGCCATCAACACAAAAACTAAAAATGAGGCGTGACAGAACATGTTGGCCTCGATACCTGCTGAGCTCTAAGACGGTAGACTACTTCCCCAGCCAGATGGTATACACCTAAGGAGTGCTCGAACCGTGAGTGCACTGCTCCAGGGTATACCGTGTTTGTTAGTCCTGCAAACAAGTAACTCTGAGTCAGTGGAAGGCAAGAATACATCAAGGAAACCGAGTGAGCAGAAGGTGCAAAACGAATAGTTTAGGAATGGATCTGCAAAAGTGTTTCCAATCAATTTCAATAGAAAAGACAGCTAAGTCTGACAAATCCAATTAGAAGTTGAACAAAAAATTCAACTCAATCTAACTTCTTTTTCAACAAGTTATACAAGTGCTTAATCTTAGGGCATCTTCGCAAGTGCTTGTCTAAATGAGTAGTTCCATGCACAGCTGAAAGCATTTTCTTGCAATGTTGACATTGAGCCTTTAACTCTCCTCTAAATAATACTTTCTTAAAGTATTTCCATACATGAGACCTCAATTGTTTACTGCCATTAGAAACTACTGTAGGAGCTTCACTATTGCTTTCACCAGAATCTGTATGAGAATTTTCAGGAACCTCAGATAATTCAATAGTTTCATCTATTTCTGAAGCCATTTTCACTTAATCTGTTCAAGACACAAATTGCATGCATATTAGCTCACATGAACGCCTTTAATCACAAAAACAAAACTCTCTTCAGCACAAGATTCTTCAATATATAGCTAATTACCCAGCTAAACGCATTATACTCAGTAAAGGACAGTAGGACAAGATATGTAAATGATGGTGATGGGTCATAAACAACACTTTCCTTGTTACTAATTTCCTAGCCATCCCATCCCACTCACAAAACACAAACCAAACTGAGCCATACAACAAAGGGATCTATGCCACCTTAGCTCACTTGGTAAAGCAACACCTGTACAACAGATTGAAAGGGGGAAAAACAGAGGAACGAAAACGAAAAGAAATGAAGGAGAAAACCACAAGACCCAACAAATAACAAATATCACCGCACCACCGGCAGCTCGGTACAAGTAAACCAATCAATCAGGACAAGCCTTCATCAAAGCTGAGATTCATGCCCTGAAAGTGGTTCAAAAAATTATATATATACGAGTATGAATTTGGCAACTGGGAGGGTCTTTGATGCCTCTACTCGGCCTACTTCGTCACCAAGCAAAAAAAAGACTAGGATGAGGCTTGCTTCGGTGATTTGACCGAGTTCGTTTGCAGTTGTATATTGAGAACTTTGCCCACAACAAAACAGGGGAAGACTATACTGCCAAGGGGTTGGAAGTCTCATGAGATCATCGGGCGCTCTTGCTGGAGCTCTAAACCCCTCAGCAGCCTCTCAATGGTGAAAATGTAAATGAAACAGCAGAGAAACCCAGATCAAGCAAGCAAGCAAACGGACACCGACCCAGATTAAACTCAAGGAGAGATAAGTTTCAAACCTGTAATTGCCCAGATTCAATTGCCGACACCGACCCAGATTGTGCAGCGAAGCTTCCTCTCGCCGCGAAGATTGTGCCGCGAAGCTTCCTCTCGCCGCGAAGCTTCCTCTCGCCGTTGTCGACGCAAACCCAGAACCAATATACCCTGGAGATCGAGACCAGAACGAGAAGACCCTGGATGCAGGCGGGCGGCGGCGACGGGATACGATGGTGAAGAGTATTAGGTTGAAGGATGAAGACACGTTTGGGTGCTGTAGAATTTTTTTTTTTATTAATTTTCTGGGCCTATCTTGGACCCAATTTAATTGGATGGGTATGGGTCTGCTCCAAAACAGAAAAACCCAAAACCTGATTTGACCCAAATTATATTGGGTTTGGGTAAAACTCATACCCTAAGACCCATTTGACATGCCTAGCGACTTCAGTCGAGAAGCCAATTCACTATTTTGTACCGAACTTGCTTCGGTAGTGGAGGTTTGGTTCGTTAGGGCCTCAATCTGTTTACTCCGGAGGAGGTTAGTCGCCCGCTGGGGACTCAGATTGAGAGGTTCTGGAGACCTTTAGTCGAGATTTCAGACTGTTTAAGAGCCTCCCGCAGTATAACTATCATTGAAATTGAACTTGGTTAATTACAATCCGGCTTAACTGCAGTCTAGGGGGAACCATATCCGGGTGACCTCTCTCGACTTGAAAACAACCGTTTAATTTCTTACTTGTTTGCTTGTTTGGACCTGCATTAAAGTTTCATTGCTAAATAACAAGAACTCACGGAGTAGTCATCACATCTAGAACCCGGGTTGACATTAAGACCCAAACCCGCTATACTACGATTTAGGAAGTGGTTACCCTTGGCCATTTTCTAGAGTGACGGTAGGAGCGAGTCAAGTTTTTGGCGCCGTTGCCGGGGACGGCTAGGTTGTTGAAGAAACATGAATTCTGTTAATTTAGCTTTTCATTTTAGCATTGTTTGCTTTGTCACACTTGTGCCTTCACGGATTTGCTTGCTTGACTGTGTGCAGGTAGTGCATGACCCGTAGCCAGTCTGGAGGTTTACTGCCGTTGGATCCGGAGCTTGAATGCACCTGTCGCCAACTTATGAGACAACAGCGAGCTAGACTAGCTACGGAGGAGCTCATAGACGGCTACTTGAGCAGCGATTCTGAGGAAGAGTACGAGATGGAAGGCGAACACAACCCACACTAGGGGAATCCTCTCCAGGTTCCCCCGGTGAATCAGATCTTAGGGAACAACCCCATACCCCAGGCAGATGGGGTTCATCATCATCCACCGCCGCCGGGTCCCACCTTGGAGTACTACTACACTCCACGGGTTGCTGATATCCGCCCTATCATCCTCTACCCGCCCATTCCAGCAAACAACTTCGAGATCAAGCCATGCTAGATTCAACTCATCACATCATTTGTCCAGTTTCATGGCTTGAAGGATGAGGAGGCAAGGGTGCACCTGTCTCGTTTCCTGCAGCTGACGAACGGGTTCAAGATGAACGGTGTCCCTGATAATGCAATCCGCCTTCACCTCTTCCCAATTCTCTGGCGGGGCATGCTAAGAGGTGGTTGGAGACCCAGTGCCCATTGTCCATCACTTCTTGGGATGATCTGGCCGACAAGTTCGTACACAGGTACTATCCGGCATCAAAGACCACAGAGATCCAGTGGGAGATCACTCACTTCCGCCAAGAGCCAGATGAGTCACTTCGTGATGCATGGGAGCGGTATATGGGATTTTTCTGGCAGTGTCTCCATCATGGCTTCAGTGATGCATTCAACGTGGGGAACTTCTACAACGCTCTCTCTCTGGAAAGCCAGAGGGTGGTTGAGTCTTTATGTCCAGGAGGGGATATTCTTACTAAGACTCCACCCGAACTGAACCAGATGATCAGTACCTTGGC